ACAAATCCGGGCAGGCAGTTTTTTTTTCTTGCCACTTTGCCACTCGCTCACGCTTGTTTTTGCGGCTTTGCCGCTCAGTAGTGCTCCCGATGAAACAGTAGTGCATAACCACCATGCTACGCAGGCTATGAATTTGATGTAAATGTCTTCTAAGAAATTCAATCCATTCTAAGATTTTCAATCTGACCAAATACTGAGAAGTTCTCGTAAAATATTCACTGCCATTAAGCATGCACAAATGCCAATCTGAATTTGACACTAGTTACAGGAGCAACTAATGGATTCATTTTTCAAATAATCAATTCATTAGTAGAATCTTGGGAGGTACGCTTGACCTGCCTTAACTGTAACAGTTCCTGTTGTTTTTGTTTTGTATGATTGACAAAGTCGAGTGGCTGGAACAGACCTGCCAACCTCCCCATGTTATTGAAAATTGATAAGGAAGGTGTAGATGATGTCATAATGTACGGCACATGATGTCATGTGTGCAAAAAATACTGGTGGACTGCGATCATCACAAATTTGCATTGATGTTTTACGTGATTGGTTTACTTCCAAGTGATCACATTATTGCTTATATTACGATGGTATACTAAAGTTCATAAGGAAACTTTCAATGTTAAAAGCAAAAAATGGCAAACTTTGGTGATTATCTGGGAGATTACAGACATCTAATCTGGAGACAGGGAGATAAGGTTCAAAATCTGGAGTCTCCCAAATTATCCGGGAGAGTTGACAGCACAGCTGGAATTTATTGGGGAAAAGGCTTAAGACATTGGCAAACAGGACATGAGTGAAACGGCACGTGAGTGAAATGACTGGTCACCGTACATAAGTACTAAGCATAGCGGTCAATCACACTTTCAGCAATCAAACTCAGTTGAACTCCAATCGTTTGATCGACTTTGATTGGGTTCGGTAGTTGAACATAATTGACCTCACCCAAAACATTGGCCAATCAAATGCAATCAAATGTTCGGAAATCAAACATTTTAACAATTGAACATAATGGAACGTCGAAAAATCAAAGCTTCAACAATTGTACCAAAAAACGGTTTCATCTGGTTTCAAACAAAAAGTTGTGTGTTACCCAGGGTACCGGAGGTTTTTACTTGCATGCGGTCTATCAGTTTGCTCTCATTAAGTCATATTTCGTTCATGTAACTAGAGAAATGTGACACACTACTGAAAGATTGTAATGATCAGCAGAAAACCTAATGAATAACCAGATTTACAACTTTCTCTCAATTTTCCTTTTTAAACAGTGACATTGTCTTCCTCACATTTTAAAATACATAGTTATGTTCATAAATAAAAGTAGTCTCTTTGCCAAAAGTATCAATTTTGAAGGTCAGAAATTTTGCGAAATATCCACATACATTTCGCTTTTGGCTGCCTGCTTTCATATCATACTGCCTTCAAACCCTTGAAATGCAGTCTCAGACAACCTAATTGCTGCCCCCCCCCCCCCCCCCCCCCCCATTGTTTTTGGTCTGCCTTGTCTCATCAACACGCCCCTCACCCCCCTTACATCCTACCCCGCACACCACTATTGCTCCCCCCCCCCCCCCCATAAGAGACTTGCACCTCCAGCATCGTTTGGTCCGTTTCCTTGCTGTATTGCACCTCCCCCCACTATGAAATAAAAACCCATGAAAATCCTGTGAATTTTTTCATGGTCAATTCACAGGTTTTTTAGAGGTTTTTAATGGTATTTTCATGGCCAAATGTAAGGAGATTTTCATGGTAAGCCACCCTGAAAAAGGCATGAAAAAAGCATTAAAAAAGCCATTAAAATCCCCTTAATATTTTAAGTTTCATGGCCCATGAAAACCCTCTCAGGTTTGGGCAAGTCCCTGAAATACCCATGAAAATGCCATGAAAGTTTTCTGTGGATTTTAATGGATTTTTAATTACCTTGAAAAACCCATGAATTAAACACCATGTTTTTCATATTGCAATTCATGGACTTTTAATGGGGCATCACTGGATTCATGGCCATGAAAAACCCATGGTTATTCCATTAATATTAAAATATTAACGGGTCATGAATATGTTCATGTCCTTTTCATGGCATTTTGAAGACCCATGAAAATTGAGTTCAGTTATTTTCATGGGGTAAATAAGTCAAAACATGGACCATGAAAACTTTGTGAAAAGGCCATGAATGTTGACGGTTTAATCAATAACATTATTTTATATTATTTTGGTGGCTTAAAAAATAAAATCATAATTCAAGCACAAAAAATGAAGACACTTACGTGGTTGATGCATTTACTGCTTTGTGCATATATACTGTAGCTATAAAAGCACAGTGGTACACAGGACTAAATGAGGTATAAATGTTTGGTTCATAATTGATCGAGTTTTTTATTGCACCCATTTGGTGGAATCAGCTCAGACAGCTAGATGTAGCACTCCTTACTCTTTCTCATTTCCTTTTATCTTGTAATGCAATAATAGTAATAATTATTAGAACAACATTCTATTAATATTAAAAGAAAATAACTCTTTAAATTAGAAATTGCTATTTATGCAATAGTTAAATAGTCTAAATAGTCCAAATTCCAGTTGAATGCAATTCACTGAGAATCAATAAAATAATTTGCTTTGGTTTCTACTTGGCAACTGTAAATATATTTACATCAATTTTAAAAATATGTCATCATAAATATTAATCTGATATCATATTTTTGTATGTTATCTGTTATAGAATATTGATAATAATTCCATTTTAGCATATAAAAGTTTGAGTGTATATATACAAATCATTTTTCACTGCAATATTTCTGGAACAAGAACTTTTTAAAAATAAAATTAATATTATTATGTACATTTCAAAATTTGGAATGCATGCATTGTATATGTCAATCATTGTTTACCCCCAAGCTTTTAGCCAGGTGGGCGTCCGGGTGTCCTGTGGACGCCCAGTTTTCAGGAAAACATTTTTTTAAAAGATCTTGATGTCCAAGTTGATCACTGGGAGGGTTTGTGATTCTTTTAAATATGTGTGAATAACATCATTTCATAGTTTGTTTTCCTCATTTTTGCATCATGTATGCTTTTGATCATCAGAGATGTCATAAATTCGTTATTTCAATTATTTAGTGGACGCCCACATGCAAAATGTTGGCTAAAAGCCTGTTTACCCCCATAAGTTAATTAATCATATAAGCCTTTTTGTAGCTCTCATAATGCTTTGAGATGTTGTCTTCATTGTTGACAACAAAGTTTTTGCCATCCTCGTTAACGGTAGGTGTTGAAAAAAATATATAGGTTGTACTAACTATGTCAGTGTCCTTGCATTTTGGCCACTTGTAATTTCCCTTTGTTGTCTTTGTCAAAAAATTGACGTCAATTTCTTCCAGTCTCGCAGTTATCTTGCCTATGAAGAAGCCTTCATTGTAGGCAACTGCCACCCACTGACCAACACTTAAACTGCCCCCGTCGTGGCCCTGAAAATCACCAAAAAGATAAGAAACCAATATTAGTACCAATACCAATACTGCGTTCCTTTCCACATAATGTTGAAATATTGATTGGCAGATTGCTCGGGGCAACTTACAAATGAAATTCAAATTTGCTTGAATTGAGCGAGTACCGGTTTTGCTTTTGACGGTTTTGGTTTGGCAAGTTCCAGTTTTCAAGTTTATAATTATAATGATAGAAGTCACTAAATTAGGTGGATAATTACCTTGACAGTGGATGTTGGGACAGGGTCTCTTCTGCTTTCTTTATTCCCATTTTCTGAAATCGTAAGCAACAAAAATGCACTATTTACATGTATGCACAATATTAAGTAATTTTGAAAACTAGTATTTACCTCCTCAGTGTAACATACAAAATTAATTAAATACACTGTAAGATAAAAAAAAAACACCTGAGATATAGAGACAAACAAACATGTATGGTTAAAAATGTGGAAGATTGACACTACAAAAGATGCAAAGATGCTGGATTTAAATTGTTTCTTCGCACCTTTTCTGTTTAGATGGAAAATAATAATTTTAGTCTTATACAGCTGTATGAAGAGGCCCTAAATTATAAGTTAGAGTGGCAGCCATTATGTATTTATCAATTAGCTTTTGACTTTTTCTCTTCGTTGACAAAAGTCTTGTTACTCTGAAAAAGTAAATTGCAAGAGATTGCCATATGATGTCAAATAGGGGGTAAAAACAATAAGAAACTTGTGTGCCCAATGATTGGGGGGGGCGGGGGGGGGACTTCAAGAGCAAGGACTAGGTTCACTGATTATTTTCCAATTGACATTAAACAAGACAATGACTTTTAAACAGCCCATAAAAAAATATTGCAATGCATTCCTTTTGCTGTAGCTAAATTTAAAGAAAGCAAGAGAATGAACACTGTATAAGCTCGATAGTGAGCTGTTCAGGGGACTTTCTTTCGATCTTGCTTGAAGCACGCGGCGGATTTTTATTACGTCTCCCATTTTGAGACCTGAGCGATGAAGGTCATCTTCTCTCGCCGCTTGGAGAGTCTCTAGATCATCAATCTGTGGCGATCAAAACGTTAGGAAAGTCAGGACACTATAATTTATGATGTTGAACAAGGATTGAATGAAAGCTATAAAAAAAGTAATCGAATGTAAGTTACAGTATTTTCAAGGACTAAACGAAACCGCTTTAAGCGTGCGATCTGTGGTGTACATTTCGTTCGACGACTGAGACAAATGTTATAAACGCCTCTTCATCAACAAGAACTTACCCCTTCGTTCAGTAGAACCTCCAAGATGCGATCTTTGTCGGCAGATTGGAAACCAGAAAAGATCTGCTCCATGGCATCAAATTTATTGAAAGTGAATTTTCAAGCGAATCCAAAGATTTGACTCCAAAAAAACCGCCTCTTCCCCGTCAGAAGTCACATGATACAGAGTATCCCATGAGCCCTCGCAGTCGACCGGCTTCGGCTCATCGTCGTAAACGATTCGGTAAACGACCGTAAACTCGGCTTTTGGGCCTGCGCATTGTACTTGCTTGAACCATCGCTTGAACCCACAAGGGCCTTGTTGTCGATTCAATGCCTTCTCGAGTCTGTTTTTGCACCATTTGCAAAGGTGAAGCAGTGCGATCAAGTTATAAGGTAAAGCAACACCTTAAGTTATACGGCTTGTGGGATTCGAAGAAATCCATCGAAGGGCCGTCAACGGCTAAGAAATCAAGAATTAACGAAAGCGATTCGAGTACGAATAGTGACTCTAGCGACAGTGAAAGGTTATCACAAATCACATACTCCATCACCTGCCAGAAGGGATTGAGAGGTTTGGGTCTGTACACGGTACATGGATGTTTGCCTATGAGAGATTCAATTCATGGCTGTGCAGGAGGGCGCTGAATAGAAGACATCCAGAGGCCACCATTCTTAGAACTTATCAGGTAATGCTTTCAGTGAGCTTTGAGCACAAGTACAGATTGTATGGTAGATGTACAGACAGGGTTCTTATTAAAAGCTAGTTAATGATTATTTTAGCTGTGTCATTATGGATATGCTGTGCATGTGCCAGTGTTCATACTCCTGGAATTTCCTAAATTGCTGGAAAATTAACATTGAAAAATAAATCCGGGCTTACATTGTTATTGTATAGGCGGATGCAACACTCCTGCTCATGTAGTTATGTTACTTACAATATATGTGTATCTGTCTATTGTATTCTTTTCACTAGACATTTTCTGTATTTATTCTTTGTTAACAGATCTTTGAGTGATGTCACTATATGAAATTGTGTGGAAAAATGAGGAATAAACTTCCCTTCGTACTTCCATGTGGAGATGATAGTCACTTGAGTAGAGATTCACTGTCACCATTTCTCTCAGATGGAAGTTCACTGGGAACAATGCATCTCTCAAATGACAACCTGGCTCACATGAATGAGATTTACAAGAAAGAAATCCCTCAAGTCCAGTCACTGTGGACGATTTATCAAATGGAGAAAGAAGTGGCTCGTAAAAAGGGAAATCTAAAGAAATTTCCAAAGTTTACCAATTGGAGACCGGAGGGAAGTCAGGCTATATCAGATGTGCATTTGTCTATCCTCGAGGGCCTTCAACCAACAGCAGTTGTCTACTACCAATTTTTATTGGATGATAAGCAGCACTCCCGCAGCTACCTTTACATTTCAACACAACACCCACACAAAAGGCCAACTATTGTTTTTTACAGTCCTCCCTCAAGCTCAGAGGCTAGCAGCTGTAGTGCCAGCAGGTCGTTAAGGTTTGGTGTTGTTGACCAGATCTATCAACACACTTTTTCACAGAAGTCATTTATGTGGGCAGCTGTGAGTTTCTACAGAAAGGCAGAGTTTATTCCCAGCTGTGGTCTTTGGTGTTCAGAGGATTCCATTGGACAAACTGTTCCAGTCCTCCTGAGTCATCTGTCTCATCCACTCACAACTGCAGTTGATGAAAACCTCAAGATCTGGTTTTTAGATGTTTATTACTGACACTTAAATGATGCAAGTTAATTAGTTACAAAATTGATGGAAAATTATATTTGGAGAAACCATTAGTTTTAGCAGGGAGCTGTCATTAAGAGTGCAAGAGCACTCAGTAACACAAAATTGATGGAAATATCTGTCATTAAGAGTCATACTCTATAACACCAGTTTATATGCTGAGTTCATCTGATTTTGATTTACAAATGTTAATGTTACAGCTGATGCCGCAACTGTTTGCAAAGAAATTCCTAACAATTGATCATGAGTGCAGGTGAAACATTAAAAGCATTGGGTGGCTCAGACCTTCATGACAGTGCTGTTTAGTATTAATCAGATTCTTGGGACTCAACTGCAAAACAAGAACACTTCAAGTGACTTAAATTAAACAGATTTTATTCTCTTAAAATAATGTTTCATCCATTTCTACTTAGCTTTAATTCATGGCATTTTCATGATTTTGCATCATGGTGAATTCCCCTTAAAGTGTTTTCATGGGTTTTTCATGACCCATGAAATACATAGACAGCAAAGTAACATTTTCATGGGTCATGAAACCTGCCAATATGTAATATGTGGAAATTTCATGGCCCATGAAATCCATTTTCAGTGCTCTAAATTTTTTTCATGGCCCATGAAAATCACTCATTCCATATTTCATGGGAAATTCATGGCTTGAATATAGCACCATGAAATCTAAATCTCTGTTTTCATGGCCATTAAAAGTGCTTTCATGGGGTTTTCAAGGCGTTTTCATGGGATTTTCATTAAAGTAGCAATTCATAGTGGCCCATTAAAAAAGCTTGGCTACAGGCCTGTAGTTTACAGCAGTCTTTAAATTTTGATCTTGGAAGCATTCACTGTATGTTAGGGCGTTTGAAATGGGATGCCCTCTACCTTGTGAGGGTAGCTAACGGTAGGTGTTAGAACTTAAGGTGGCTCGATACAGTTTTTCAGGGACAATACCTTCCAAGTTTGAGCAGAAACTACGTGGCCATAAACAAAGATTTGGAAAAATTGCCACCACAGTTGTATTAGTTTAAGATGAAAATTTGTTATGATCAGGGTTGCAATGACACTGGAGTTGTAACCTGGGATCAGGCTCTATTTTCGTTTCGCTTTTTAAATAACATTCCAGCAGGCATTGCAAAACGAAAAGAGAGCCCGATACAAACCTTCTACGAAATGTCTGCCGCCCACTTTTTTGATTGATTGACATTTGCCGAATCACCCAACCAAAATTACTTCCATTGCTTGTTTTTCTAGTATGCAAATTTTTCACGCGTGGGAAAAATGCAGACTGGCTGACTTAAAAAATAGTTTTTATCTGTTAATTTTTTCAGCTAAAAACAAAACAGTCAGCACAATCACATTTAACTTCTTGTGAGATTAAGGGAGATCTCAAAGGTTATTTCTGTTGGCGTAGAAGGTAAAAAGTTTTTGAAAAGACGGCGACACGATGTTCTACTAGTTTTATTATTTTAGCTAGCTAGTTGCGCTCGAAATTACTATTATTTTTTCCGTTGCCTTAATATTTTCCTTGGCTATTTCCCCCGATTTTCAGTACATAAATCTTTAAAAACAAAAGCAAACAGCCAACGAGCGAGGACGCCAGTTTTCCTGGTTTATTTTTTACAAAAAGCGATGGCAAACAACCAGTCTGTTAACACTGAAAATTCCTTGAACAGCGATCGATGCGATATTTTTCATCTAATACTTCACAGTTGGTGATTGAGGTTTCATCCGCAGTGAACCTCCGCTTGCATACCCCGTTGAGAGAAGTCATTCCTGGCTAAACTTTCAAATGAAACCAGTTTTAAGATGGACAGTATTTTGATTTGCACCCGATTGTTGGTAAATCAAAAGGCACCTTGTTAGCAGTCAACAACTTACAGAGGGATTCAACTCCGCGATACACTCACTTTCCGTAAATAAAGCAAATCCTGAGAAGATTTGAACAACCATATGAACTTTGTGAATTTCCATGGCACATATTAAGGCATATTTTCCTACCATAAGACCATAAAACAATAAAAAAGACAGCAAAATCGATCCTTCTCTCCGCCGACGACGAATCACTCACGAAAACAACCATGCAAGGAATAAGCGCTTTCAACTTCCGGCGTTTCCGACAGCCAATCAGATCTTGTGGCATTGTTATTTTAGTTTTAATTAATTAAATTTAATTTATTCCATTTTCACTGCAAAAAAGCAAACTTAGCTAAATTGTATAAGAGAACAATTAACTACATACTAGAAAAAAAAAATTTATTGCAGTGGGGAAGGACTAGAAGGGAACATACGAACCATTCGAGCTAGTCCACCCAAAAACTACAACAGACACTTAAATAAAGAACAAGAAAAAAAAAACATTAAAATTATATCTTAAATGTAAAAACTATAATTGCTAATATATCCTAGATTAATCTAATCAGAAAAGTAATTGTTACATCGATCCCTGCATCCAAGTGACATGCGGGTGGTCAGGGTCGAAGCTGACTTCTTTTTATAGAACTCATTAGATTGTTTTTTAAATAATGATAGGCTTAAATTAGAGGTCCTAAGTTTATCAGGCAGGTTGTTCCATAACTATGGTAATCTATTGAAAAAAGTGCCTTTGAATAATTTGGTCCTGACTTTGTTAATCTTTAACTCATTAGTAGAATATGACCTTAATCTTTTGTCTGAGCAAAAATCGAAATATCTTTCAACTGAATAGGTATAGTAACCACACTTCCGTTCATAAAATGTTATTATGTCTTTAACTTCTCTTTGGTACACCAATGGGAGAAGATTGAGCTGCTGAAGGCATTCATTGTAAGTTAAATTAGGTAGGAGAAGCGGCGTAGCATGTCGTTGGACACCCTCAATAAGCTTTATTAAGGTGACAGACTTTGGACTCCAGGTTTCAGAGGCATACGCCAAATGCGAACGCACAAGGGCCACGTAGAGAGATCCAAATGTTGGCAGAAACTGATCGCTCCTGCTGCTGAGTAAACGATGGATAAAACCGAACATCTTATTATCTTTGTTCACCTGGGCGTAGATGTGCTCATTGAATTGAGCATCACAAGTGACAAGAATGCCAAGGTCACGCTGAGCCTCCACTCTCTTAAGTGCCTTTCCTCTCATATTGTAATCATAAATTATTGGATTGCGCTTCCTCGTTATCGTGCAAAGTGAGCATTTATCCATGTTAAAAGCCATCTTCCAAACATCACTTCAGTCAGCCAGGTTGTTCTAACAGCCAATCAGCGTTACAGCCAAAATCTGGCCGTAACGAGCACAAACGTGAATGAGTTTGGATCAGGCCCAATTTTAGCGGTAGCCGTTAGAGAGAATGTATGAGAACCGCTAAAATTGGGCCTGATCTCAGGTTATTGGAGTTGTCACAGCAATGAAATGACGCCATTACCTCTTTTACTTGGAGCAGTATTTCTCGGCACTGGGAACTGTTCTTCCAAAATAGTTTCCTCCAATAGCCGCCTTGATGTTCATGAAGTTTAAGCGAAATCTGTAAGAGCGTTATTGAGATATTTTGAGATGAGGATTTTATGGTTAGAAATAGGGTAAAAAATGGACAATCTTGATGTTTGGCTATTATCTGTAGAAAACAAAATGCTTTTGACATGCAATTTCACCTCACAGCTAGTTTAAATCTTGTAAAAAAACGTGTGTGAAAGATCATGGAGATAGATCCAGCCAATTGCCAGAAAGGAGGATTTGATTAGTATGTATCGAGGCACTCTTGTTAGCGGTTTTGTAAACATTTCGGTCTACTTTAACAAATTAACAAATAATTTTTAAACGGCTAGATAGATTTTTTTAAAAAATCGAGATTCTCGCGATTAAACGTCGTTTTAGGCGACCTTTGAGTCTCAAGATTATTGATATATTGTAAGGCAATAAAATAAGGGCTACGATTTGCTTATTTTTTTATGGGAATTTCATGTTTACAAGTGAAAGCCCATCATTATTCGGGGGTATTGTCTGCAAGTTTTATTTTCAGGTGAACAGCAGTAAGTAACAATGCATTTGAAATATGCAAAAATGCGGCTAGCTATTGTTGTGCATGAAAATATGAAGCTTGGAGACAATACCCCTGAATAATGAGGGGTTCTCACTTGTAAACAGGAAACTTCTGATAAAAAATTAGCAGATTGTAGCCCATAATTTTTACTGACCCAGCTGGATTTTTGAAAACAAACTCAGCAAAATTTGCAGCCATTGGAGTGGAGATTAGGGCCAAAGTCAGGCCTTTTGGGTCTGGTCCTGAGAAGCCTGGAGGTCATACTTGCAAAGAAAAAGGATTGGGAAAATAGAGAGAGTGAGGAGAAAGAAAAAGAAGGGGAAGATTAAATACTAATGGTTGAACTCTTATTGTAGTTTTCATATTGGCTACTTTTTGAACCACAGGTTATTTCTTCTTGACAAAAATGGTGTATTTGATGGTACTGTTTTCCTAAATCCAGCTTTATACGTTACATATATTGGGTTATACTTTACATATTATATGTTTATTAATTTGTTTATTTACTTATGTCACTGTTTGCTGTAGGTACCTCATTATAAAGCTACCTTTTTAAAATGGATACTTCACAAGTCACCATCACTTCAAGCGGTGTCTGTGTAGATTGCAATAACCCACCGCAAGTCAGTGTTGCCCTATTGAAGAAAAGCGATTTGCCTTCGCTGTCAAAACCTTGGGATGACATTGAACTCCCAGTTGACATGTTGTTGCTGACGGTCAGTGATTGCGAATTCTTGAGCTGCATTGCGTATTTGAATCCAGGGTACTACAAGAGCTATCACCAAAATTTTGGATATGTATACCTTGGCAAAATGGGTGAAGTTGATTGTATGAAAGTTGCTGTTATGGCATGTTTTGTTGGTTCTGCTGGACCTGACGATTCTTTCATAGCTGTGAAAAATGCCGTTTTAGCCTTGAGACCGAAATGTGTATTTAGCGTTGGATTTTGCAGTGGTTTGAATTATCGCAAAGTCAAATTAGGAGATGTGGTAATTTCAGGGGAGTACTTGACAGAAAGGCGTTCCACTGGTATTCCGTTAAGCTCGCCGATTGCAACGGTGATAAAAAGGGCTGCTGATGGCTGGAGGCCACCTTTGATCGATCCAGAAAAAATGGAGGTGCAAGTACATACAGGTGGTGTGTTTCTGAGTGGCACAGAGGAGCTAAACAATGTAGAACGACACAAGGAGCTTGTCGAGCGATTTCCGGAAGCCATTGCCATAGTCACAGAGAGTGAAGGTGAGAGGTTTGAGACCTTATTATGATCAGAGTGTCCCTCAAAATATTATTGCACCTCACCTTTGCCATCTTAGGACCTTCAAAAAAGCACCTGTACACCTTTCATGGTGTGTAAAGACAAATTGATTTCATTTCCAAGTGTGCCTCTCCCTGATCTCCTTCAGGCCATTTGCTGGCATTAGTCAAAACACATGTTCCTTTGAACTATGGTGGAGCATGAGTAACTAAGGAGGTAAATTACATCAAAATGACCTCCTAGTGAAATGTGAGTCATTCAAATAGCTGTTTGCAACATTTGTAGTTTCAGTGATCTGGTTCCACTGTGAAAACAAATAAAACAATAATTAAATAAACACAAAATAGAAAAATAAAGATGAATAATTAAATAATGTAAAAATGAAATAAGATTAATTACTAAAGGGAAAAACAAATGCTTGCAAGTTATTGTTAACTCGCGAAAAACGTGAAAATATCCGAGATGCAAAATTTGTAAACGATTTAACATTGTTGACTTCCGGGAAGAGCACATGGGCCAGTCCATAAATTCTTCGACGCTATGACCTGGATCAGCTGGCCCAGTCCCTGTAGACAAGAATTTGGTACATCCAACAAAGAAATATATATGGAACTTTTTGTAACCTTCAGTTTGAAAGAGCATGGAACTACTGCTGGTAAGAAGCCTTACAGGGTTTTAACCGTGGTCAAACGCAAGAGCATGCACTAGTGGTGTGACGATTTATTGAATTCTCGATAAATCGCGATTATGACCGTTCGGTTCGATTCACGATTTTTTGCTTCCACGTTTTGATTTTGGTTTGATTTTTGCACAACTTTTCCAGTGTACCCTCAGTGAGTTATTATATTGTAAAATCAGAATCCGGAACTCTTTAAAATGTATTAACGACTTGAAGTAATCGGATGAAATTCATGCTATAAAATGTGCGTTTTTGATTGACGAGCAAAGACGATAGCAGTTCGTGTACCATTTTGTGTCACCTGGTAAAAATGCTGTCCTTCAACCACCCCTTGACAATTTCCAAATAAGGCAAACCATGCGCAACACGCTCTTTGTTAGGTTCTAAAACATGGCGATGAACTAAGCAACTGTGAATCCCCCTGTCCCTGTTACTATTCTCAAATATTTATTGAGGGTTTAGAGTTGCATGTTGTTGACATTACGCGTTATGTTATAAGAAGTAAGAAACATTTACATAATCAAATCGAAATAATTGAAATTAAAAGGCAAAAATTGAAATCGAGTCGAATCGCAAGGAATATGAATTGTTACACCCCTAGCATGCGCAATGCACTTGTTCCCAGCCAGGGAAATTTCCCATGCAAAATTTTAATTGACACCATTGCAGAGACCAGTGTCAGGCAAAAGATAGTTGAAAAATCATCAGAAATACGCTAAAGTTAAGCGAAATACTTCAAAGTTAAGGTTTTTGATTTACCAGTTGATAGTTAGATAAATTTTCATTATTCTCCGAGTGCACTAAATTTTTTTGACCTTCACAAAAAAAGTTCCTGCTGTTAAAAGGGCCGACATGGGAAAGCTTGTCGTTGCCATTTGTTTACTGAATGTCGCTGTTCCAATGTGTGATGAGTCCAGGAAGGGAGAAGCCAACAGGAAGAAAAAAATGTAGTAAAACACAGCTGCGGAGTGTTGCTTAAGTTTTATCGAGGGCAGAAGAGGTACCTGCTGAAGGATCATGGCCTTGCCTGAGGCATAGGAACACCATACTTGCCGAGGACAAATGCTGCTCCTGTCCATCTTCGTGTGGACACAGTAAAACCCCTTCTAAAATTCCAATCCTCAAGAGACTGTATGTCATGAACAACCTGACAACGTTACAGACTACAACCCTTAAAATGGTGCAATAACCAAGCAGAAGCCAGGCAGTTGATAAATCTCTTCTCTCCAAAAACAAAAGAAAGAGACATCAGAAAATATGGTAAACCACACTTACCGGTAACGAAAGTTTTGTTCTCAGCAATTTCAATTCACTGTCCTGTCATTTTAAGTAACAATTTATAAGCAGATGAACATCTGTACAGAAATGTTTTTTTCTCGGTTAATGTTTTTTTTTTTCAGCTTTTCCCTCCCCTCCCCTCCCCATGACGTATTTCCTTGATTGCCTTTTGAGCACCTGATCAGGTGAGCCAAGGCTTTCAACATTTTGCTATAAATGACAAGGTGCTTTACATTTTGATGATGAGCTCGTCAGAAGCAATTAACTACAAGTGATCTTCGAAAAACTGGTTGGGGTCATCCCTGTTTTCAGTCGTCAAAAGAAATAATGGAAGTAAGGGGTGTACTATATCTGCGATTGAAACAGAAGAGAAAAAACAGAATTCAACTTTTTTACTTAGACCATAATAATGCACCTTGTGTAAGCCAAAGAGATGATCAAAGATCCAAAAAAAATATTAAATAAACAGGTAACAAAGCCTTGAGAGGAGAGCTGCCCATCTCCAAAGGATGGCTCGTCAGTTATAATTAGGCCACTTGGCTAACAAGATTTTCTAAAAGACAGTCTAAAATAGTGTAAGAAAGAATACAAAATTGCAAATATAATTGAATGGAACCTTTGTTTGTCTTTTCAGTTAAATTAGGTGTTCTTTTTGTATATCATTTTCATTCTTTCTTCTCATTTTGCATCCTTTTCTCATTTATGTGCTTCTCCTTCAGGGTCTAGACTCTTTGTCTTTTATTCATCCCCTTCCTAACTTTCTGTACAAAAATAAGATAGATTTAATCAAATAAATAATAAGTTGTCAAATTGGTGTAATAGAAACAAAACTAAATAATAATAATAATGATAATAATAATAATAACATGTTTAAACAGGATGACCATTTCAGTTATAAAAACGGCTATCAATATGGGTCCTGTATAAAAATAAATGAATAAAAAGATAAAAACATTAATTATATATGAAACTGGGATACATTACATAATTATAATCAACGAAAAAAAGTAGCCTCCTTTCCTTTTAACGCTATATGAGCATCTAGCAACATACAATAATCTTTAAGTTGTATTATTTGGCCCACTTTAAAGGTACATGCGGGATCATTAAACACCATGGCATTTAAATCAACAAAGAAGGTTGTACAACTGAGACCTCATTTACCACCCCTTCCTAGTAATTTAAACTGTAAAAATAAGACCAAGCTGCTAGTATTGGATGGACAACGTAGTGAAAACAGCCCTAGTCATGAATGTGGGCAAACATGAAGAATAAGCAATAGTGATGAAATGACAGCATGTACACCAATGTCTGCTGGTCAATTTGCAATGTTGAGCAGTCAAAAATAGACTTATGCTGCTGTGATTGTTGAACTTATGTGTGGTTATTAAACTACTGCCAAGAAATATAACCTTTTTCCTCCCACAATGTGCCTGGGCTGATAACAATACATAACATTGAGACCATAGATGTTCATGCATCTTTTTTGACCTTCATTATATGTTTACTGAACTCATGTGATGTGGTCATTGAATGTTATGAATGAGACTTAAAATAATTATTCACTATTGAAGGTCGTCAGTCATAAAAAAACAGTTTCATCGAAAAAAACAACCAGATAATTTACTAAATTTTTTATTTTGCAGAAGAACCAGAACCCAAAAGATATGGGTTGCATTATAAAAATACTAACCATTAAAATTACGTTCAAGCCAGTGTTTGTATAAAAGTATTACAGAAAGCTCAAACAATTTAAAACTATTTAAACTTGAGCTTATATTCTTTCAGTGGCCACTAATGCACACCGTCATTGATCAACAAGAGCATACGAGCAGTTGGGGAATATTATGATTGACAAATGGAAGTTTACTCATACTTACATTTCATATTATACATTCCTCTTATTCATCGCCAGTGAACTTTCTTGAAATACATAGAAAATTTCCCTGTTCTTGCCCGCAAGAAGACATAGCCGCATGTGTGTAGCTTTTCCAAATCGAACGTAGTGATTCCCACACAATTCTTCACGCATGCTCAGACGTTTGACCGCGGTGTGGACACGGTTAAAGCTAGTCGTCATGGGTGGATTTAGGGGTGGTCTAAGGGGACTGTGCCTCCTTTTTCAGTGAAATTGTGTATTTTTTTTATAAAGAATTCTCAGGATAAATAGCAATTATTCACTAAAGTGGATGTGGCTAGTGGCGTCTCTTTACTGAGCCGCGAAGTGGTGAGTTAAATATCCACCACTTGCCACTGACACTGAGGTGAATAATTGTATTAGTATTTACTAGAACAGTTAGATAATAGGCCTGTTTCAAAAATACCATAATATTCTTCGTTGTTCCTCCGAAATTTTGCATAAGCATTGTTTTCAATTTCTCTTGAGACATGCAATCACCCCAAGAGAAATTAATGCTTATGCAAAATTTTGGAGGAACAACAAAGAGTATTATGGTGTTTTTTTAAAAAAGGCCTATTGAGCAAGAAATGATGTTTTTTAACTCATTTATTGCTGCCAACAATAAGAATTTTAGAGTGCAATTGACAGAGCGGCTGTCATGTTTTCTTGCTGACAATTCCTTGGGAGATATTGACCCTCAAAAACTTTATTGAGCCACCTTAAAGAAATGCCCCTGCAACAGCTAAACAAATGCCTTCATTTTGTTTTGGGTTTTTCATGGTTAGAAATACCGTAAAAAATGGACAATCTTGATGTTGGGCTGTTATCTGTAGAAAACGGAGTGTTTTTGATGTGCAATTTCACCTCATAGTAGTTTCAGTTGTTTTAAAAACGTGTCTGAAAGATCATGGAGACAGCTCCAGACATGGCTAGAAAGAACGGTATTTGATTAGTGTGTATTGGGGCACTCTTGTTAGTGTTTCTGTAGACATTTTGGTCTACTTAAGCAAATTAGTGAATAATGTTTAAACTGCTAGATACTACTAGGTTTTTTTAAAAAATTGAGGTTCTTGAGATTAAGTGTTGTTTTAGGAAACCTCTGAGATTTATAGGGACTTGTCAGAAATTAGCAGGGGGGAGGGGGGTGGGTATTTTAAATTTGGGTTCGGAAATAAGGTGACCCATCCCTGCAATGGGAGTGAAATTTGCTAACCCTCCCCTTGACCTTGACCTAAAATATCATGATCCTCCCCCTCTTGTATAAGAGATAGAATCTAGTTCTTACAATACACTGGGGTGAGTCAGTATTATGAAAGCTCAAAATATATTTCTAATTTGTTCTTTGTTATGCCATATACATACATTTTAGATGACAGCATTAAGAGTCCGACTCTGATTCTGACAGCTGATCACTCGACTCTCCTATTTCTCCCAGGTTTTTTTTACAAAATAAAGAACCTCCTTTTTCTTCTCTAGGTGAACTTCTACATGATCACGAGCATTATATTTGCATGACTCTCCCTCTTTTAACAGCCCATTTTGACTCCTCCCTTTTCTGAGTCTCAAAAAGTTGTGACCCTCCCTCTGTTTCCACCTCCCCCCCCCCCCCCCCCCACTTTCCCCCCACCTCCCCCTAACCATTTTTTATCTCTTAAAAAACAAAAAAAGACTACCAAACCACACATTTTACCCCCCCCCCCTACTAATTCCTGACAAGTCCCTTAAGATTATTGATATACTGTGAAAAGTGAAATAAGGGCTACAAATCGCTAATTGTTTATCGGACGTTTTGTGTTTAAAAGTGAAAGCCTCTCGTTATTCAGGTGTATTGTCTTCATATTTTTGTGGACAGCAATGGCTAGCATTTTTGCATATTTCAAATGCATTGTTAATGCTGTTAACGTGAAAATTCAGCTTGGAGACAATATAGGCTTTGAGGCGAAGCGGAAAGTTTTAACACCTGATAATACAGGACGAGGTTTTTGAACAGCTTCAACGTCTCTGATAATTTTATGGATCAATTCATTTTTGAACTAATATTAATTTAGATTTGGGGTTATTTTGGTCTAAAAATTTGAACTTGAAGTTTAGCTGTGTCTTTGTCAAAATAATACAAAGACACTCATTAAACATTTAAAATTTCTTTTTTTTTTTTAATGAATCATTACTGAGTTTTTGAAATACTAATAAAACTTACATAATTATATGGCTGGCAAGTGCTTCCTCCCCCTTTCCTGAATTTTCTATTTGCACCTGGTCGCTGCTACTGCTACTCTGGACAGACTAATCAAAACAAACAAACTGCAGTCCAAGATAAAATGTCAAGTGATGGCAAACCTGGAGATAAAGAATCAAAGTAAAGATGACAGGGGAAATGACAGTGGTCTTGTTTTTGCTTATTTAGAATTAGAAAATAGCCAGAGAAATTCTGACCCTATACCAGATGAAGAAATTAACTACTGTTTTTCAAGCTGCACGAGACTGGAAGGAGGATAATAAGCATAACTTCCAGATAATATTCATAATGGTGGTACCTTTGATTGGCAGAAGGGTGAGGAAATCATGAAAAATGTTCAAAACTCCATGAGGATTTCATGAAAATGTAGTATGTTTTTCGAGTATGGGTATCAGGTTAATGTGACTGTCACAACAAACATCCTCAGACCGTCCCCTGACTATTCCCTAACCCAAATCCTTTTTATTTTTAATGATGATAACTTAAAGGTAAAAATACTTTTTTAGTAATGATGTTCCTGGCTGATGTGTTTTGATCTTACATAACAGATGGCTTAGTGAGTAATCAGCCTGACACTGTTAGTACAGGTGTTAAAGTTTCTTAATTTTTTTTTCTGGGAATCGTGTATCGGATAGTTTACTGACTGGCCTAATTAATATGCATTTAACATTTTATTAAATGAATCTTGCAATAATACTTTGGGCTGACTTCTCTATAAATGATGCATATAATTACAATGAATACATATATATGTCACAACTTGCAATTGAAGAGGGCTCGATCTGTAAGCTTTTAATGGACTAGCACCTCGTTCATTGATATGGGCCACTGCTATATAGTTTTGATACCCATAATTTTTTTTTATATAAGAACCTGTTCAATTTGGGCAGGTTGAAGTGGCTCTTATTTGTTTGGCACTTTGTGAAATTTCAGCCTGAAGGTTCTTGTGTGATTACAGTATCAGTTTACATATGTTACTTTCTGTGTTTATATACTAAGCACACTTCTCTGTTTAGGTCTGTTTGCAGCAGCACATGACTTGAAGGTAGAGTGGATTGTTATTAAAGGTGTCTCTGATTTCGCTGAGAACTGGAAATCAAACACAGATGCTTGGAGAGCATTTGCGAGTCTTATGGCTGCTTCTTTAACATTTCATATTCTTGGTGATAGCATAGTTTTCAAGGATTGGCCTCATTATGAAGGTAAGACCCACCGGCCATTAGTTACTGTAATCGATACAGATACAGCTAAGACTCCACTGATGGAGCAAAGATATACTATCATCATTTCTTATGTGAAAAGATTATCGTCTAAAGATAATATTTTTGTCTAAGCGTAGAAGTTCCAGGTACTCAAAGGAACCATCATGGAAATACGAAAAAGGTTGAATTCTGTCACCTGCTTACCCAAATTGAAAAGAAAAGACTGTCACTAAACACTTTTATTGTATCTGCATGAAACCCTTTCTGTTCCTTCCATTTTCTTCCTTGAATTTAACTTACATTTGCTCTTTTCACAGTGGTGACAAGTAGAGGTCGAAACGCCATGCAATGTTTTTACAGCAATTTTCTTTGGAAGATAAATTGACTTCTAACTGAAATTTGCTAAGAAGTCAAGCTAAATGGAGACAACTAATTATTTTTAATTTGTTGTCTTGATAGTCCCATCAGCAGATGAGTCAAAAAGAAAGAAAAAAGAGCCCACAATTGCTGCCCACAAGAGACGCAGGTTAACGTCTGTCCCATTAGGTAATAATCTATATACAGATTATAATTATTATAATATAGAGATTTAGCCAGGGCTAAAAGCGAACAAAAATAACCACTTTGATGTTGTTTTTTCTCTCTAAAAGTTAGGGTGGCCAGTTAGGGTGGACGTCTATCACCAAGTTAAACACAGGCTGCAGGCTCCACTCAAAGTAAAAAAGGCCATTTCACAATGGTTAAGCCTGGTTCTCATATGCTGCCGGCCTAAATGAAGCGGACTGGCACATTGGTTACGGCTTAGGTCCTTACCGCCGGCATGCCTGCGAAGATGACAGGTGTTCAGCTTCGCAGGCATTCCGGCAGTAAATACTTGTGATGGTTCTTTTTATATATATACATATATACATATGCTGCCGGCCTAAATGAAGCGGACTGGCACATTGGTTACGGCTTAGGTCCTTACCGCCGGCATGCCTGCGAAGATGACAGGTGTTCAGCTTCGCAGGCATTCCGGCAGTAAATACCTGTGATGGTTCTTTTTATATATATACATATATATATATACATATATATATATATATATATATATATATATATATATATATATATATATATATATATATATATATATATATATATATATATATATATATATATATATATATANTGCTTCTCATATGCCGCTAATGTATCTGCGATGCAGTCACCAATCCTCTCTCTCTCTATATATATATATATATATAAATATTGGAAGTAGGAAAAAAACTACACTTTCATCCCGACAAGCCTGTTTCATGATCTCTCACTCTTCAGGGGATTTTAATGATAAGAATATCATAACCATCGACGATATACTTTGAGATTACATTGTTGATACGCCATGAAATAGAGTAGTCAATGTTGTTGTCTTTCAGGCAAACATGAAAGTCTTTAACATTTGTCTTTAAGGGACCAGACATGTTAAACATGCCTGGTCCCTGAAAGACAACAACATTGACTACTCTATTTCATGGCGTATCATTTCATCTAGCTCATCCTATAACAGTTCAAGTAAAAGATGTAACCTTTGCCTCAAAGAGAAATTTTTAATTATCTGTCGTCCCAATCTATCATCACTTAACAAACGTAACGAACTTGTATCTTCTTGCCGCCACAGAAACAAAGCGTTGCTATGTAACAATTAAACATTTAAATTTAAATTTTCCCAAACAATTTAATCTCAAAGTATATAGTCGATGGTTATGAATATTCTTATCATTAAAATCCCCTGAAGAGTGAGAGATCACGAAACAGGCTTGTCGGGATGAAAGTGTAGTTTTTTTCCTACTTCCAATATTTATATCACACTCTACTTTAACGTATCGAGCACTCTACAACGGAAAAATCGAAACACAGACTTCCTATATATATTATATATATGTATATATATGCGCATAGCAAAATTTCTCGGATGCATGGATAACCAAGTTTTTTACCTATTGTGCTCCGCTATTGTATTGGTTATTTTCAAATGTGTTGTTTGAACAGTCCATTATGAATGGCTTCTTGTAGAAATTGAACACAAATAACTGGAACTAAATTTGACATAGGGAATTGGTGCAAATGGAGCAATCTTATATCCTAGCCTGTGTGGCAGGCATTTGAAGGGTAGGGAAAGGGGAATAGACCTTTTTACCGATACGGCGGCCAAATTGAATTAATTAGATATAAGGAGTATTATGAGATGCCCAGGCGGCATGAGCACGATTCAATATACGCACTCAGCATTTATGAGCGCTTTTCGGGAAATTTTTCTTCAAGTTTTTCTAGAATAAGATTGTAATTAGAAAAGATCGTTGTGTCGTGCGGTTTGGTATAAAAATGATCGCCGTTTTCCCAAGAAATATGTGGTGAAAGACCATTGTTTCTTAGCAGGTACGTTTCTGCTCTCCCAAAGACCCAAGGCACTTGGCTACTTGGACGAGATAACTGAGCCGAAAGGGATTTAAGGTGAACAAAAATATCAAAGTTCACTCAAATCATTTTAAATTTGGAAGACTTGTTGACAGTCATCCTCATCCCTTGCTCTTTCGCTGAAGGGCTGTGATCGGGAAATAGTAACACTTAAGAGAAAAGCTCCCACGGACAGGCTTCCAGTACAACCAATTAGGAGTAAGAAGAAGTCAGATACAGATTCTAAATAGCGAGAGAAAAGAGAAACAATTAATATTGTGGACATTCCGTAGAAATGGCTATGGTCTTTCACTGTACATTTCTCGGGAAAAAGTTGGATCATTATTACATCGAAACACGACACAACGATCTTTTTTCCCATGACAATCTTTTTCTAGGAAAACGTTAAGAAAAGTTGCCCCGAAAGCGCGTGTAAATACTGAGAGAGTATATCAAATCGTGCTCATGCCCCCTGGGCATTCCATAATACTCCTTAATTCAATATGGCCGCCGTATCGGTAAATAAATAAATAAATAAATCCACCCAAAATTGAACATTAACAATAATGCAAAACAATAACAAAACGAGACTTACATGATCTTCTTTTATAAAGTACGTCTCGTTACAGCCCCGTTAGGCATGTACTATACAGTCCAGACATGTCCGTGTACAAGGTATTCAGCATGTACTTCTGATAGCGCCTTAAATGTCCTCAAACGAGTCTTTACATTAATGAAAGGGTTTTGCACCAAGGCATCGCTTATTTTCGCGAACATTTGGAGAATTGGTTCCAATAAGGTACATAAAAAAGGTACGATGGCCTTTACACTATTATACTGTTTATGCGCCATATAATCAGTGCAGGGCCGTAGCATGGGTAGGGGCCGGGGGGGACTTAGTTTTTTGTCCGAAAAACTCAAAACATGCACTCATAAAAGTTGAAAATAAAAATTCATCTCCCAGAGCATTGAAACAATGGTGTCTCTCCAGCTAGCTGACACATTTGCTGGTTTTAAGATACAGAGACCAGTCCAGGGGGTCCTCCGGACCCAAAACAAAACCAAAACCCCCTGCTTTTCAAATACAATGAGTTACCTAACATCTTTGTGCCCCCTAGTTTCTAAAGGCTTGCTACGGCCCTGAATTTAGAGCCCCTAGATATCAGAAAACTATTTAAGAAATATGAGATATGAGATGGTAGTTGGCCAACGAGGCGCGTTGGATATTAGTTGGTTATAATCATCTCATATCCAACAAGCGCGAGTGGAATAATTGTATTATTAAAAACGACCACAAAATATCGAGAATTCTTGCCGACGTTATTTGTAAAAACAACCGATTTTCAGCTTGTTTTGTTTTGTTACCATATTTGGAGAGCATGGTATAATGCCTTATATACCACGATGGCTAAGCGAATCATAGCACTAGAATTGCATTATCCAGTGATTCAGTTTTTAATAATATATATATTTTTTCTTTTATTTCAGATCTTGAACTCCTATCATAAGGAGAGGTATATGCTTCCCCCGAAGTTAAGCCCTGTTATTATTCATTCAAAATATTTCCCCTATTCTGATTGGCTAAAAGCACACGTTTAATTCACTATAACCAGTTACTGATGACCAAATTTGGAAGAATTTTGTGTTTAGCGAGGAAATGACGTAAAAAATGCAGGTTAATGCACCGTTAACCGAGAAGACCTGGGGACGAGGTTGAGTTGTTCAGGTTGTGGACTTGAAAAATGGCGGACATTTCACTCGTTTCAAGAGTAAGAACTACGCGAAAAAAAATAGCTAAAAACATGGCAAGAACAGCAAGAAGACGACTCGAAGGGCGACATCTGCTAGTTGGAGAATTTGCGCAGCTGAACAACCCTAAACGTGCACTATCGAAGATGAACTTAACATCGATGGAGGTAAGGATGTTTTAGCCATGTTTTTAAACTAGGAATTATTTTGAATGAATAATAAAACAATTTTTGAATTCGACTTTCGTATCATATGAAGAATTATGGAGATCTCGGAGAGTGTAAAAATAAATACATAAAAACATAGCTAAATCATGCTTTCCTCCATCAATGTCATTAAGTCCATCTTCGATAGTGCATGTTTAGGGTTGTTCAGCTCCGCAAATATTCTCCAAATAGCAGATGTCGCCCTTCGAGTTGTCTTCTTGCTGTTCTTGCCATGTTTTTAGCTATTAGTTTGCATAGCTCTTACTCTTGAAACGAGTGAAATGTCAGCCATTTTTATTTTCACAACCAAAACAACTCAAGCTCGTCCCCATGTGTTCTCGATTAACGGTGCATTAACCTGCAAGAAAGCTGCACTTTTGCCGTCATCGGTTCCGTTAAACGCAAAATTCTTTCAAATTTGGTCATCAGTAGCTGGTTATGGTGAATTATGCCTGTGGTTTTAGCCAATCAGAATCGGGGAAATATTTTGAATGAATAATAATAATTATTAATTATGTCGAGCGGGGTTAGGCTCTTGATGGTTGCCCCCACGTGGGGAACCTTTGCCTTGTCGATATTTCTTGACTTGTGATTTCCTTTGATCATAA